TCAGCACAGAAGAGTAAGAGGAACAAAGAAAACGTCAGCACCACAAAAAAAAAGCACTACAAAATGCAATCCCAATCCTAGGAATATATCCTAGAGAGATAGGAGCCATCACACTAATAGACATATGCACAATCATATTCATTGCAGCACTGTTCACAATAGCAAAAAGACGGAAACAACCTAGATGCCCATCAACAGAAGAATGGATAAACAAACTATGATACACACAATGGAATATTATACAAAGATAAAGAACAATGATGAATCTGTGAAGCATCTCAAAACATGGATGAAAGTGGAGGACATTATGCTGAGTGAAATAAGTCAATCACATAAGGACAAATATTGTATGAGACCTCTACTGTATATCTCATGTAAAAGTTTACACACAAAAAGAAACAATCTTTGTTGGTTATGAGAGATGGGAAGGATGGGAGAACTAAATAGGTAAGTGGTAACTTTGGTGAAGGGTAAGACAGCACACATTACTGGGGAAGCCGGCACAACTTGTACAAGGAAAGTCATGGAAGCTCCATAGACACTTCCAAACTCCCTGAGGGACTGAATTGCTGGGCAGAGGGCTGTGGGGACCATGGTCCCGGGGAACATCTAGCTCAATTGGCATAATACAGTTTATAAAGACAAGGTTCTACGTTCTACCTTGGTGAGTAGCGTCTGGTGTCTTAAAAGCCTGTGAGCAGCCATCTAAGATACTCCACTGGTCTCACCCCTTTGGGAGCGAGGGAGAGCAAAGAGAACAAGATACAAGGAAAAGATTAGTCCAGAGGACTAACGGACCACAGCTACCACGGCCTCCACCAGACTGAGTCCAGTACAGCTAGATGGCTACCACCACTGACTGCTCTGACCAGGGTCACAATAGAGGGTCCTAGACAGAGCTAGAAAAGGATGTAAAACAGAATTCTAACTCACAAAAAAAAAGACCAGATTTACTGACCTGACAGACTGGAGAAACCCCCGGACACCGTTTTAGGTCAGTGATGAAACCCCTCCTGAAGTTCACCGTTCAGCCAGGGATTGGACAGCCTCATAAAACAAAACAGGACTAATGAGGCACAGCAGTCCAGGGACAAGGACTAGAAAGCAGGAGGGGACAGGAAAGCTCGTGATAGGGAACCCAAGGTTGAGAAGGGACAGTGCTGACATGCCATGGGGTTGTTAACCATTGTCATAGGGCAGTATGTGTACTAACTGTTTAATGAGAAACTGTTCGTAAACCTTCATCTAAGGTACAAAAAAAAAAAAAGAATTATCTATGTGAGATCAAATTGACAACAGCAACTCAAAAGGTTTGATGGGAAGCCTAGGGGACAGTGAGTTGAAGATAATGGTGATG